TGGCATGGGGTGTGCGTGAACTAAGTCGCCGATTGAGTAGCATGCGTCTTCGGTTCAAGGTCAAGAGCATCTTTATCCTCACAAAGATATACGACCAAGACTTGATTCCCAAGACACGAGAATTGGTCAAGTGGCTCCTTCAACATAGTCACGAGGTCGCCTACACTGTCTATGTTCAAGACAAGCTCAAAACAAACAAGAAGTTTGATGTCAGTGGAATCATTGACGAGGTGAGCAAGGGGTATCTTGATAGAGGCGACATGAACGAGCAGGCTGTCAAAGAAACGCTGAACAGGCGACTCCGATATTGGGACGAGAACATGTGCAGAACACGACCTCATACCTTTGACTTTGTTATCTCACTTGGTGGCGACGGTACAGTGTTATATGCCAGCTGGCTCTTCCAGCGCATCGTGCCACCTGTATTGAGTTTTGCACTAGGAAGCCTGGGTTTCTTGACCAAGTTTGATTTCGAGGACTACCAGCAGACACTCTTAACGGCCTTCACCAAGGGCGTTACAGTTAGCCTGAGGCTTCGTTTCGAAGGCACTGTCATGAGAAGCCAGCCGCGCAAGAGAGCCCAGCTTAGTCAGGGGCCCGAGGAGGACGAGGAGCAGTCCCGAGACTTGGTGGAGGAGCTTATAGGTGAGGAGAGGGAAGATGAGCACACGCATCGGCCGGATGGGACGTTCGAGATTCTGAATGAGGTGGTAGTGGACAGAGGACCAAACCCGAGTGAGAATCCCAGAGTAAACGTTACCCCTGCAGGAGATGTTCTAATGTATATTCCAGCAATGTCAACTACCGAAATTTTTGGTGACGATGAGCACTTCACCTCAGTCTTGGCGGACGGTATTTGCGTATCGACACCCACAGGCTCAACGGCATATAATCTCGCCGCCGGGGGCTCCTTGTGCCACCCCGAGAACCCCGTGATGCTGGTAACATCTATATGCGCGCATACCCTGTCTTTCAGGCCTATCATCCTTCCTGACACGATTGTGCTACGGGTCGGTGTTCCATATAGCGCTAGAACGGCTTCATGGGCGAGCTTCGATGGCCGAGAACGTGTCGAGCTTAAGCCAGGAGATTACGTGACCATCAGCGCCAGTAGATTTCCATTTGCCTCGGTGCAAGCCGAGGGACGGAGGAGTGAAGACTGGGTGAACAGTATCAGTGGAAAGTTGGGATGGAATACTAGACAAAAGCAGAAGAGTTACAAGGAGTGGGAGAAATGAGATGATGTGTACCGATCTAGTACGGACTGGAATCATATATGTGAAGGGTGACGTTTCGGATGGCAGATTTTGATGGTCGGCGTTCTCATTGAACTATTTAAGTTGAGGAAACACGTCTCGTCGTCACTGCAAAGGGTGCTATGCTCGTGTAAACTTGCACTTTTCTAGAAACATTTCGGGTTGTTTGGTAGGACGTGGCACAGGGGCTTCGCTACCAGCGAAGCTATATAGTACGTACGAATTCAACGAGATATATCACCAATGTTGCCTGAAGAGAGAGAAAAAACTGTCACGTAATTAATACTCAGGTAATACAGGACGAACAATGTTGAGGAACTTACGATGACCTGACCATAAGCTTTACGGTTCTTGTGACGATATTATCCTAACCTTGAGGATATATGAGAAGATCTAGATCTAAATCTCGGGTATCTAGGCTTGAAATAAACTCTTCACAAGAGGCCCTGCATGACTACCCACCCCGTGCTCGCATCCATTAATGATCCCAGTGCCCAAACTGGGCTTTGCGTTCTGCGTCCATGTCACTGCAGTTCAACAACACTACACATATACTGCAAAATGACTTCATGGCCTGTGATCTCTTGGTGTCTAGAGAGTCTTCTTACCTTGGCGCAGATTTAAGGCATTTGATATGTCCTTGACTGAGTACCAAATAACCCAAAGCGGAATCCAGACCCACAGAGTGTTAAAGAAAAATAGGTAAACCCAAAGGTACATGAAGTTACTCGTGTCGAGATTAGTACTTCCGATGAGCCATTCAGGACAGAAAGTCATGAATCCTGAGAGTTGTTTAGTTTGGCGAATCCATATGAAATGAGGCGCTGTCGGGACTTACCGCCGTACAGCTCACAAGTAGCCAGGACAATCATCCATATGCTGACCTTAGGATCCTTCTTAGCCAGGCAGTAGCACACATAAACAGCTAAAGGCCCATCAAAGAACACAGTCAACAACTCCAGACTCACAACCCCCAAGTCGACACCAGCCCATCTCTTGTCAGCCCTCGCATATACCATCCATAGCTGGGCAAACGGATTGTCTCCACCTGACTGCGCACCATATACTCGATCGCTATAGCCTAGGAATCCAGGAGGTGTTGGGAACAGGTCCGTTTTCGCATTATCGACGAGGGGTTGGTGCGAGAAGAAGCAGTGGTACAAAAAACTGCCTTCGAGGAGGAAATGACACAGGGCATCGGCGAGATGCCATATGAAAAGAAACCGGAGAGTCCCCGAGGAGGCGGAGGGCAAGAATCGCAAAGAGGCAGCATAGGCGACGAAGACGATCGCGAGCGTTGAGAGGAGGGAGATGATTGTTGTTTGGTCGAAAAGGTCGGGTGGTAGGGACGATGAGGGTTCTGTGGCCATTGCGTCGAACCTCAGTACTAAATTCTTTTTGATTAATTGAATTGAAGAGTGAAGAGTCCAGTTATTGAGTTACAGCTGCAATTGAGTTGTTGTCGAGGAAATTTGAGCTTGCCGAAGAGGAGCGGTGTCGGAAATGAGACGCGATTGCGGCTCATTTCGATACCTAGCTTTACGCGATAGCCTCAAGCTGTGGAGTCTTGATAATCAGCGAGTTACCACCGCCACGTCTCACGTCGAAATGCTAAGAGAGAAAGAACAAGTTCTAATGTAGAACGGCAAAACTATAGTAGGGAACTTTCCAGAAAGAAACCTTTGATATACAGTCGTATGTATCATTCTGTGAGAAGCTTGATTGAGGCTGTTCACGTGCCAGAGCACGTGGTTCCAACAACTATTGAGGAGCTCGGATGTTTTGAGGACACTAACCTCAGAGACTTGGCGAAGATCATGGGGGTTTCTCAGCTTCGTTGAAAAACTGATCATTCGAATTATTGTTAAACGGATAACATGCAGCACATGTCGATCCAGATGGTGTAGGTTGTTGAAAAGCAAACACCGTATTGTCCACAGTTCAGACGATTATAAAGAACAGGAAGGCAGAGATGTATCTAATAAGTTGAAGAGATAGTGAATACTGGGTATCTAAATGTTCAATACGGACGGCGTAGCAAGTCCCTAAGCGAGACATTGCACAAATCCTCCGCAAGGCTGTATCTTCATAGTTTCTCGGGCAAGAAAGCATCTGCGATTTTTACCAATTGAAACTGTCACGGGTTAAGACTATCTGGAAAGCGGTGCGAGTCTTACATTACACTATGAACTACCAGAGATTCTGACCCCAGAGTCATGTTTTAAAGGCCGTCCCACAGCCATACTGCCTTTCCCTTCATCTCTCCATGTCTTCTTCACCTGCCACAATATCATCTCGACTTCACTATCCAATTTGGGTATGGAACAGGATCTTATGGTTTTAATCCTTGTTACCGCTTCCTTCCTTTCTGCTTCTTAAGAAGCAGATATACTAGTCAAGCTTCAGATTTCATCTACTCACCATTTTATTGTTTCCTAACTACTATATGCATATGAAGGCTCGAGTTCCTACCAGCATTAACTAGGGGAGTCACGGCCATATTTCAGTGTTAGCGTGGTATCGAGAAACAAACAGCCACCAAAAGGCCGTGGTGGCACATCAGAAAACCAGAATTGCAAACATGCATACATAAGGTTGGTAGCGGAGACATTGCTCCGTCGAAAAGGACCACGAGGGGAGAGATCTCGATGGAGAGCAGAGCAGATGGTGACGGACACCAATCAGCACCAGGAAGCAAAAATGCAGGCGTCGGGCGTAATTATGTTTTACCCGCCTCGGGCGGAGTACGGCCACAAGCAAGCAAGCTGAAGAACAAAATGCCCGATTTGGGGAAGCACAAAATAGGTAATAAGTGCGGTGTGAAGTAACCACCTTACGGATAAGCGTAATTGAAATGTATGTTCACATGACGTCATTGCTGATAGCTCTGGCCACGTCACCGCCACACTCCATGTTACCCCGCTATGTGGCGGCGCCGTTAAACCCGGAAGCGGGGCAGATCTGACCCATCGCGTTACACGATGTCACGGGAAGTGGGTCCACTACCAAAAGAAGAAATACCTTCAAAAGAGCTCTGAAATGACATCAAATTCTAGAGAGTCTCTGTAACAGAGGCAAATTTTAAGCCGCAAGGGACCGAGGTCGATCATGTGTCAGTATTCAGATGTCTCGCCTAGGAATTATACAGGGCACAATCCTTGAACTCCCAACCTGTGCCCCGCGACGCGCATAATGCGTATACAGACCAGTCTCCTCTTCTACCCCCACCAAATAAAACAGGTCCCAGATCCTTTGATCGAGATGACGTTCCGGTGATGACCTGACGTCAGGAATGTCTTTCGAGCAACCATCACAAGCCAAACGCCCGAGCTTGCTTGCTATCTTGCTCTCAAGTGGTCGCGTTAGCTGGGGTACGATCGGTTGTTTCCCACTTATCAATAACAGTAACGTATCAAGCCGTCTAGGCAACGTAGGACTCCTATGTAGAAGCCAGTCAATGACGACACTTTTCCCCTTCACATGATAGTCCATGATAACTGGACAGAAGGGGAGCGACGGGGACAGGCATACCAAACTCGAGGACGTGTACGCTAAACAAGTAGTCAAACACTCGATGACGACGGTTTACCCGCAAGTTGAAATGAGAACAGTCAATCAATCTATATAAACCCCCCCCTCATTCCTCCTCAGTCCAGTCTGTTTTCTTCCCTCATCATCATCACACAACCTCAACAAATCATCAACTTCAGCATTCACCAACTTAACCATACAAACCAATCCACAATGGACTCCATCAAGAACACTGTCAACCAAGCTACTGAGAAGGTTAGAATGCTCTCGAGATTCCGCCATGCTTCTGAGTTCACTGCTAACACCTCACAAGGTCCAGGAGGGTCTCTCTGGCACCAGCAAGGAGGCTAACAAGGAGGTTGCCAAGGATTCGAACGCCGGCGTAGGCACTCGGTACGTTGACACACGATCCTCGAGCATAACCATCCAACACACTCGATCCTCGAACTGTTCTGAATTATCTAACTTTTCTTTTCTTCAGTGCTTCCGCGGCTAAGGATGCTGCGTCTGACAAGCTGGACGAGACAAAACACTCTGCCAAGTCTGAGGGTTACTCTGCTCAAAAGTGAGCTATTGTTGCAGGAGAAAGAATGAAGGCGGTTCCTCCAGATATCAGCATATATGCAAGATTTTAGTCATATTATAGCTTAAAGAGATATCATGCTCAAATCTATGATCGTTTCTACGTGTCATCATTCATATTTTAATCTCCTATATCTGGGTGAAAGGACAAAGTCAAGTTCGCAAATCTTGTTTTGGCCTACAAAGAACCTGAAAAGCAATATTAACATACGACAAGATGTCTTCAATTAAACACCAGCAGTAAGGTAGGAATATTTTGGTACTTACATCTAATAATACGATAGAAATATACATACTGACTTATCTTACTTTAGCTAGGTTCCTAACATTAGCGAAACGGTTAGCATGAACTGTGGATCAACACTTGATATCCCAGTAACATAGCATCAAATACCATGCCAGTGGCAACTCATACGTATCCAATCTGAATGTATATCACGAAATGCCTAAATAAGGGCCGAAGGGTTCCAAAGTCTAGCCATAAGTGTACGTCGGTTGGGCAACTTCAAGATGCCATCGATGATTCAATGGGCCTTCAAATATGAAGTTTAATCTTGGGAAATCCTTCTTGACGACATGATCTAGCTCACAGGGCGCTCTAAAAACCGATCCTAGTGAACTCAGCGACTACTTAATTGAAGTCCCGACCAGGCTACGTATAACAACGGATCAGATAACATCACTGGCGCCATGGCCATTCTAACAGGAAAATTCCATGACAATTGATCAGATGCAGTCCCATTACGGCCACTGCATCATCAAGTTACACGAACAGTTGACCTGGGCTGATACCCAGCGATAACTGAATTCTTATATCGAGACAAGATGCACGCACTGGCTGCCACGATTGGCAATCCTCAGGGAGCAATAAAACATCAAATGAATAAACGCAAATAGATGACTTACCTCTGAATTGTTTCTGGCTCACTAAGGAACGTAATCCCACCATGCGAACGAAAGAGTCTCCTGGGTTCTGCCAACATGGCAAACAAGGTTCTGATTCCCTTCCAAGATCAGCAGAAGCCGACCAGTCACTCACCAGTTCCTGAAGGTAAGACTTGGCAGTGTGGCGGATAAACCTCAACTTATTCGACGTTCAGTTCACCCACTTAGACACTCTTTTTTTTCTCCTGCATTAGATAGTATTCATATGAGCTAGAAGAGGAGGTCGAGTGAATCGCAACGATAAATTTATGCTGGCATATGCATTAAGCACTTAACATCGTGGACATTAAGGAATACCACGTTAAAGGTTATGCGAGCTTTCGGTGTTAACGAATATAGTAACACTTGAGCACCACAATGATAGGAACGACTGTATGGAGGTGATCTGGATAAGAACCAATATGAGAGTGCATTGTATGCGCAGGCCACGTTCCCTAAAGGACGGGTTTCCCATATTGCTTCGATTAATGGTGATGGTCATTAACCAGCCGAACCAGTGGGAGAGATGTGCCATGTTGTCAAACAGCATGGCATATTACATAGGCATGTAAGTCAAGGATCACTACCGTGAGTGGCCTGAGGTGCTTAAGTATATCCCATGAACATGACGCCTGATTATCCTTGGGATCTTGGTTGCATATCCGACAACGACAGAACAAATTAACCGGCCTTCGATCGATATTTACAGTATAACTTTCAGCTCCGAGGAAACTTGCAAAGCAACGTTAACATGAACCTTTGCTTTTTTTCTTTCTTTTCTTTTTAATGCTGCCAAATCTCTGCTATAACATTCAGAGAAAATATATACAATAATAACTTAATTTTTACTTTACTTCCTGTTGTAATCCAAGGAACCGCCTGTGAAGTACGACGGCACTGTCTTGGTCGGCGTCAAACGGCACCCGACTATCCAAACAGTCGACCTCTAACGGAGTGGCCGCCAACGTCCTCATGCAACAGGATCAGAACTGGCATGCAAGCAGATACAGTATCGGCCACTACTTCACCAGAGTCAAGTTGACTGGCATATACTATTCATCATGGAAAACATTATCTTAGGAAGGTTTCCCTAGTTTTGGCTTCGTGTAACAGTATCGTCCTCTTCGCGTACGCCTTCGGCCACTATTCTACGTACACCCAAGGCATGAATTTCGACGACTACATGAGTTGCGTGGGCTACTATTGACTCAGTGCTACGTGGTGTATGACCCAATTTATATCTTTTGTTGTCACGAACTAGAATCATATCAATATTTATGATATCTGATTATATGTTCCAACTTGACTTTCTCAACTCTCTTCTCAACAAGCAATTCGACTACTGATACTTGAGTTTAAGATATATACTTCAGCTTATAATATATAAGCTCCAAAATATCACTTAGAGCTAAGTAATAACGAGATAAAAAAAAGGGGGGATACCATTTGGAGATAATCTAGTAACCCTAAACTGCGAATAACACCATAATGATGAATATCGCCTTAGAGAGCTTCACGGATGTTTCGTGGCTGGATCCCCTCCGAGTCGTTCCATCGATTTGGGAGAGAGCCCGGTTGCCTGCACTCTTGTATTGTATCTATTGTTCGGCGTCTGGACTCTACCTGGTATCACTCCTTGCTCTCTCGAAAGCCAGGTCTCAACTTGATTGTCTATGAGCAGACGATAGTCGACGGGTTTGACGGCATTGCTCAAACGAGGAACACCAGATATTCTACAGTCATCTTTCCGGACGCCTTTACGGCTACTAGCACCGTCGACACAATCTTCGTGTGTGCGGAAGACCAGTCGCAAAAGAAGCAGAGCTGGCCCCCAGTGGAGATATTGGAGGCACAATCATCGAGCGACAAAGTGCATGTTTTCAACGGTCAAGATGTGTAGAAAAAGGCCGAGCTAGTCAGCGCTCAGGAGGAGTAAGAAGAACGATAGTCGGTTTAGGTAGAGTGGAAGGTGTCATACTGGTGGTCCATAAACGATATGAATCACAACCACGTACACATGCACAATACGATGTTACTGGCAGCCTCCCAAGTTGAGGTTCTCGGGCAGTTCCCCCATGTCACGCTGATGGTCGGGCCTGAGTATACATAAGATTTAGGGTGGGCAAGAACACACGAGATCTCTATCCTAAGGTAAGTAAAGAGCATATTCAGTGCATCTTAGGAGGTCTTTAGACCAGTGTGTGTTTTAGTATATCGTATGAATGTAACGAGTTTTGTAATCCTCGACGGGTATCTCTTTTTACCAGAGACAATACGCATACTATCTACCCATGTAGGAGTGACAAAATATATGTGGAACACCCAACCTGCGGCAGACCCCTCACTTACACCGGAATCTTTGAAACTACTTACATCACCAAAACTCACAAAGGGATATACAACATAACGCCGACGTCAAGTGATAGGGTCTGCCTCACGCGTAAGCCGACGCAAGTTAGGTGGTCGGCATTGCTTTCCCAGTTTGTATTGCAACAAGCACGGCACTGGACATCATGAAGCATCTCATTGCCGTAGGGGCTTGTTACCTGGACACAATCCTCACGAACGTCACCTCTACTGCATTCACATGGCATTTACTAACTCACCTCCAGCGTGCCCTTCTTCCCATCCGAAGACTCCAAGTTACGTGCCACCAGTCTCAATATCCGACGTGGAGGCAACTGTCCCAACTCCCTTCAGGTCTTAGAACAATTACTCTCGGAGCGCGACACCCTCCAACTACATCTGGTATCACCCCTTCCCGCTACTGGCTCGTCCGCAACACAGCGTGTTATATCGTCGTTCGGTGAGCAGTCGAATATTGACTTCAGCCACTGCGTTTATCGTGAGGAGAGTACGGAGGCGGCAAGCAGTTACATCATGCGTAGCGAGGCATCAGGTAGTCGCACGCTTGTCAACTACAATGACTTATTGGAAATGACTGAAGACGAGTTTGGCAACATCGCACGAGGCTTCAACCCGGACCAGGAGACATGGTGGCACTTTGAGGTAGGATGCAGACGCGGTGTCCTCTGCCCGGTAATTCTAGGCTGATGATGGAACAACAGGGCCGAATCCCGGATACCATACAGAGCTGTATCCGTCTCCTGCGTAACGTATTACCAAAAGCGACAATCAGTGTCGAAATTGAGAAGCCTGGTAGAGAGGGCCTCCCTGAGCTGGCGGCAGAAGCGGATGTTGTCTTCTATTCGCGAAGTTGGGCTGAGGTGAGAGTGGACTCATGGATATCGGCCGTTACGATTGCAGTGACCTAACAAGGGGGATAGAGTCGAGGACACAAGACTCCGGAACAATGCTTGAGAGCTGAAGGGCATCAAAAGGCGTACGTTTCATGGAAGGACATCAGGCTTCTGCTTTGACTGTATGGCCCTTGCTGACAAGAAGCTGCATAGGTCACTGGCACTGTGTACGTGGGGTGAAGATGGAGCAGCTGGGCTGTCTCGGTCGACAGGCGAGAGTATTCACTGCCCTGCCCTGGATAAATCAGGGCGAGACATTTCCGTGATCGAGTGAGTTGTCCCGCCCTGACAATACCTAGCACAGCAACAAAACCTAGTACAAGGCGCGTAAAACTGCAGGACCTGACCACTGTTCGAGATATAGTGCCGTAGGAGCGGGTGACACTTTCATAGCCGGAATGCTGTACGGACTGATCTGTCACCCTGACGACTGGACCATGGGAGCGAAGCTGGGTTTCGCTGTTCGACTGGCTACGGTCAAAGTGCAGCGGGAGGGGTTCGATGGACTCGGAAGAGACATGCTTGGAACGGAAATTGGAGGCGTTTGAATGAATACCTGATCATGGGCAGCCATGGGCATGATTGCCTGACGGTCTTATCCCGATAATACGATGGTTGCTTGACGACAATCCACACATTTAGCTCTTTAGGCAGACTCTTTCGGTGCAAGGGTCAGATGCCGGAATATCAAGGGGAACTGGGGGGGGGAATACTAAACCGCTCATGGGCGGAGAAAGAAATGGCAAGAAACAGCAAAGTGGCTCGGCGAACCATGAGTCGCTGCCTATGGCTTACACCAGCTGATAATGCTCTCAATTCGGGTATTGAGAGATTTAGTGGGCAGAAGAGAGACAGTTGGGTCTAGGACTGGAAGGGACAGACAGTGGAGGAGAGAAGTGGAAGGGGGGATAATTAGAAACAGGGGAGAAAGGCGGTGAAAACGGGGAATAGAAACATTGGGTTGCCTTGATCTTCAACCGCCGTAGTGCACATACGCACACGCACTCCCGCTACTGGTGAGGGCACGGATTGGTTAGTCAGGTGTCAACTTGGACCTGTCCCGTTTCTCTCCTGCTTGTTGATGTGATGCAAGTGGATGAGCAGGTGTCTTGTTGTCCTGGCCTAGGTTGTTAAGAAGGGCAAGGATGATGCTATTCTGCCTGCAAGACACAACCTTGAACCACGCGGATGCGCCGGGGCTACTGCATGGAGACCACGATTAGTCTAGAAGCACGTCGTTAGTCTTGGTGCTCGTGTGAAGAAACTGTCTTCTAGATAGTGCAAGAACAAGATGGAAGTAAACATCCTTGAGTTATCCCATCTACCAGCTGATCTATCAACAGAGGCTATAGCTCTAAAACACGCCATACGAAAACAGAAAAGTCTCGTAATGATTGTTGGACGCTCAAGCCTAAGTCTAAGAATCGATTCGAGAGAATCATATCACAAGGGATGTTTAATTCCCAGCTTCGTTGAGACGGTTGACCGAAACCAATAGCTAGCTAATGTATGTAGGTGCGCTAGTCGTGGGATGCCAGAAAACCTTAGAGCTTAATCATACGTGACATAAATACTCAAACAGGCTTAGAATGATCCAGGACTAATTTAGGAGATCCTTCGACTATTTATTTTCGCACCGTCTCTTGAGAATTTGCACACGCCCCAAGGCATGGTTGGAGCACAGACTACGGTACCAGAGCCAGGGCGGCGGCCAACCGTCCATCTGCAGCTAATGCTTACATAGTATACACTAGGGAGGATTCTAAAGGGCAAGCGAGCTGCGAGCCGCTCGACAGCGTCGTCATGCGGTGCGGAGTCTAAGGACCCAAAAGCCCCGAGACGCAGGCCCAAGACGATTTGCCGTAGTTGCTATTTGGGCAGCTGGCTTGTTTAGCAATGGCACTAGGGACAGGGACAAGGTGTGAGACGTGTCAAATGAGACGGGAGGACACGACAGAATAGGATGAAAGCAACCAGGACCAAGTCAGCGACAAGTCTAATGTGCCCGCGGTCAACACAGCTTTGAGAGCAGGACGACCATTCTAATTGCAGCACCAAACTCACAACAGTCCACACTTGAAGCACCTTTGTTGTTGGTGTGGCATGTTTTCAACAAGGAGTGAGAACTGAGAACAGGAATATGTACACGAATCTAAAGAGAGCACTCCGTACTATGTATATAAGCCACTGCCTCGATGACGATACCAGACATCAGAAATAACCGGACAATATCGGAGTATGTACCATACTGTAGATACCAGAAATTGAAGTCAAATACGGAGTAGGCATGTCGTTCGTTGATCATCACACCAAGGCCCATGCAAGGTGGCGGTATGTACATGCAGCTGGCATGTTGCTTGTTGGCTGGCTCTCATCGAAGTTAAAGTGATGTGATTCAAGTGCTGCACCATCAAATAGGATACGGCATGATAAAAGCTTCAGATCCATCAAACCTCGTCGAGACAAACGAGTGCGTGACTGTGAGTGCGAGTGCTTGCTTTGCTTTGCGAATGACGCCGGCCCGCTTTGAGCATGTCTCAAAACCCCTGCACACTGATGAAAGCTAGAAACCGTCTCTACCAGCACTAGACAAGGGGTGAACTGTGGATATGAGTCTTCTCACGGTGGAGGGTATATCCAATCTCATAGCCCCCCACACATGCCCAGTCACAGCCATATGGGCAATTGAGTGGTGTGGTATTACATAGTTCTAGGGTGTGTTGCGAATAAACCCGAGTGATGCGGACTTGACGGTCAGAGAGGGCTTTGCAACTTTCCGTTGGTATGGCTGAACTCTGCTCTAACCCGCCATGAACATCCCCCGGGGCATCGGTATGGGTTTCTCGGACGGAGGAGCGGGCGGCAGCTGGAGCCCCCCCCCCCCCCCCCCCCGGCTTCCCGGGCTCTATAGTTAGATGCTAGCACTACGCCGCAGGCGTTATAGACAAGCATGTACATGTTTTGGGAGAATGCTAGGTCGTGTTAGGGACTGGAGATCGTTTTGAGTCTCGGGCGGACAGTAATGTTGTGTTGAATAAATTATTGGATTACTTTTCATCTATGATCGGCAACGAAATCTAACGAATGGGATTCTTCGAGAGTACCTCTTGTCTATTCTCGAGTATCCTATCCAAGGGATCATTCTCACAAGCTTACTGTACAAACCATTGACTCTCGCCTCGCTTGATTGCGAAACTGAGAGACTGGGAAGCCATGATGTATTCAAGAGAAAGTGAAAGTGGTGGTGCTCTACTGGTGACATGGTTACGTGGTGGTGGCCGCATCGATATACAGCATTGAAACCGGTCTGGTAGTCAGGATTGAAGAGGTCTGATGAAGGCTGCCTGATGCTGGTCTCTTTGGGTATCCAATCAAGACACCCAAATTGTAGTAGTAAAATACGCCGAAATAAGTAACAGGCTTGTTCATGCATTCTCGGTACCATGGCTATCCAAGGTTGCGCCGCCAAGCTATCCACAAGACCCAAGACCAGGTCTGGCCAACTCAAGACTGATTGCCATATCTTACGGCGGACCGCGAGCCATATCCCTTCCGCTCGACGGTCGACCTCCGCAGAGCTCCACCAGATTTGGATTTGGGCTGGTGTAAGTGACTGGATAGCGGTGGTCGCATGTATGTGTATATTGCTTCATCGCCACGCCCTGCACCTAAGGTCTGAGACGCTGAACGATCACTTACTAGTAGGATCGCAGAGGGGCTTCACAGCGTTCCAGACAACTCGTTGCTAACGTTATACAGCACAGCAACGATACAACATTGGAGCAACGAGTCATAAACAGACAATCAAGGTAATCAATCATTCTGCCCCCATCTTAACAAAGACACCTGCATGATCACAAACTCGCATGCATGCCGCCGCCGGGGACTAATGCTGTGTGAGATGTTGCTCAGTCAAGGCGACCGACGCAGGCTGTCCATGGCTCTCTCTCAAGCGAATCCTTCTGGCAGCTGACTTACATAGCATGCATGGATGGATGGGAAAGTTGGACCATGGGTGTCGAAAGACCAAGGCACAGCGGTAGGTATGTTGCAGTTAGAATTCTCATTGAAGCAAGGGCTCTTATTTAATCCTCTTGAGTCAATCAAGCCTGGGTCCTTCATTGGCTCGACGCACACGAAATTGTTGGAAGCTCAGTGTTTAACCCCAGCAAATGTACTCCGTATGTACGTACACAATACAGATGATACCAAAAAGGTCAGACTTTTGTGCAGGGGCTGGTCGCTCATAGCCTCAGACTCTCCGTTCTCCATTCATGTTGCTTGTGGTAGACCCATGGCAGCGGTTTTTAAAAGTGGTCCAAGGGTATGTTTGTAGTCTAGCGCAAGGGCGGCGCATCCTAGTGTAAGGGTCTGATCATAATATTGGAGCCATCCTTCATCAATGACTGTTGATGATGATTGACGCCAGTTCTGTCCAACATGTTGAGGGATGTTGAAGTGTAGAACACTCTGATGGATTGCGTGGTCTTATGAGCGCATGCTCACATGCACTCATGCTGGGTAATCGTTGCCGAAATGAAGGTCTCCAGTCCACCAGAACTATGTACTGTACTGTAAGCATGCAAACATCCAGGTGAATGTTACATACATAGCAAGCAGACCAAGGCCAGGCCAAGCATGTTGATCTTCGGCAACTGGACCGTGGCTTTGGGCAATTATTCTTTTTCGCTTCCTTGGCGATACCCAGGTGTCATGCTAAGGAATCCCTGGTGAACGGGCTTAAGTCCTCCATCTGCACACCCTTGCCTTTTTCTTTTTCAAGCATCCACAATCTGTTTTGAGTTGGCATAGTGTGGCGGGTGTGGGTTGCCAGGTCTCAATGACAGCAAGTCCTGTAAACGAGATCGCGTGGATTCGAAAGCCACAGGCAACTTTGATCACAACTAAGAGTTTCGGTGATGCAAGCCAATCGTTGCTCGTAAGTATTCGATGGCTTCTTTCGGAGCCTGTGTCCCGTGACAATAGCCCACTCGGCGTGAAGAGTTGGGTAAGTGAAAGAAAGCTTGCACGTTTCCTACAGCTAGTACTCAAGAAGACTCAAAGAATTCTTATTGCAACAAAGATCTTCGGATCGAATGACATCTGACCCGAATACGTTACTGTATGTAAATGCATTGTGTCGAAGGGGGACCAGTGAGTCTTGTTGTCTTACATCGAATCCATTGCTGATACCAAAGACAGTTAGCGTTCGGGCTGCCGAATTAGCGACTCGGCTATGAAAGGGGATCCACTGGTACAGATTTGCTGAAAGGGGTGAATTCGGGCATGAGGATGTGTGTCTAGTGCGATGGTAGCGAGAGAAAGTCAAACAAAGAAAACAAAATTTCAGCCTCTCTCGTAGTACATTATGGGTTAGATGCAGGATCTTTGATTTGAGGCCGAACAGGGCAGATTGGTTTGGGCCCCATCCATCTGAGAAGCACATCTGGTGATTGATTGGACGATCACAAGCAGATCTCTAGAGTGAGTACAGAGTATGATTCCAGTTATTCTTCACAATGACTGGACGAATGCGTGGTGAGTGCGTCCCCAATGCAATGAAGATGTTGAGCCAGGGATGACATGAAAGCAACTAGGACCTAACATTGCGTCAAAGATACTGAACATTTGTGTAATGTTGACAAGTTCCCTTTGGAGCTTACTGTTGCAACTCCGTTCCTAAGAATGGGTCGCCAACCTAGGGCGATGGTGTTGATGATTTAGGTAGTGAGCTGTCGACCGCCATTTGTTTGCTGCTTGGAGGGCATTTGGATGACGCATATGTTAAAATCGCCCTCGTCAGCCGCGATAGCAAATGTGATCCCAGGCGGCCAGGATACATCCGCGGATGAGGCATGCTGGCATGGTTTTGAGAGGAATGGTGTGGTGCTTTGCCAGGGGCTAGACCATCCAAGGCCAGTGATACTGCGCTGTGCTGAGATGGGATAGTTTATGCAAAAGTATGTACTGCACCGTATTAGAAGACTCTCACATGGTGGTGGCTGCGCTTCCGTGACTCGGGTAACGCACGAACCGTAAGGAGAAGTTTGATGAGTACCCAAGTACACACTGTATGTAGGTTGATGATCAGCGCCAATGTCTTGTGGGACAGCGTTCCGCGCAGAAAGCTACCCGGCTTTCGTGCTGTTCCAAGTGAGATAAAATGCCTGGGCAGGACAATCGATGCGTGATCCAGCCCAAAGAGTGTGATTCGCGAGGGCAAGACACGGACATCCTTCAAATCCTTTCCTCTCCCTGTTCATGTGACCCACAAGAGAACTTCGGATACAACCCATGCTAGGGGAGGAAAGAAAACACAGGGCCTCAATCCTAAATGATAAAAAGACTTAGGGTAATATAGCCTAAGTTTAGGATAACTTTTGCTAAGTTTATTTTGACACCCCACAGTAAGGTTCGCTGTTTTCTTGCCCCCCCGAAGGCCATGGAACCCAGCTGCCAGCCAGCTTGAAACCTCCAAGCCTCGATAAGACCATGAAATCAAAGAACGGCAATTACCTGAATTCCTTAGCCCAGGGCAGTAAAGTCAACACGTAAATTAATGGATAGACCCGCCAATCACCGAGGTATCGATCGAGCGCATCTGAACCAAAAAAAGAAAAGAAAAAAAGCCTAATAGCTAATCCAAAACATTGCAAATCTTTATGTTTTGGTAAGCGTTGTCTTGATAAAAAATTCCGAACTGACATCGAGATTTACTGCAAAGATATTGCAGTAACTGACCTCGAGCAAATACCGGCCAAAGTATCTGTTCATGGTCACAGCCTCCGGATTTGTTGACCAATTTCGGTATCTATTGGGTGAAGTATGGATATATCTGACCGCAATTGTTTGCCAAGATGCCGACGCGCTCTCCTGCTACGGAGAAAATTTACACGCAAGATGGATCGACTCGTACACTACCTAAACAGCGCATTCATAGCCACCGGTGATAGACTCGTTGGGTGTTCTGACCACACACCCGAGTCTCGTGGGTATGTATGGTAGACTCACCGGGACACTAAACCAGACAAGCCAGGGTTACCTGAGGTTGAGTAAAAAGGATGTTGAAAGATCCATCGAGGCGGCACGCTTTCATCTTGCACCATGACACTTCCGGGTGGCGCACAGTTGCCGCCCTTGTTTGGTGACTGAATCAGTGGGCAATCAGGGCAATTCAGAAACAACAAGGGCTCACAAACTGATGGCCCCAGGCTGCTGATCCCTCTGCTGCACGATTGGATCCTTCCAGAGGGGGCCTAGTCAACTTACAGTTATGCCCAGATCTTTCGAGGGAGAGATGCGAGCTTCAGAAGGCGAACAGGCGAGGACTAAAGGAGGAGAGGGGCGTCAGTATGCTGTGCTCCACAGGCACTCAATTTGGTGGTTATGGTCAGCGCAATGGAACTCTGAGGGTGGGGATAATCTCGTAAACAAAGAATCCCTAGCTACCAGCGCCAGCAAAACTCTGGTTGACTGCGGTGTGAGCTTGATGAGCCGTGCATATCCCCTATAGATAGAGGGGCGATGAGATGAGACAATGGAGGTGACAGAGAAGGAGTAAAAGCCGAGACCGTCAGTGTGTAGCCATTGTTGCATCTTTCATTGGGCTAGGAACAGAATATAATTACCTTTATTATGAACTGTTCCAGAGTGGATCACCTTAGAGGCTTCTGCTATCTCTCCTCTGACTGTTTCCAGGCCGTCTGTTTGGTCGGCGACCCGAGGATGATAAAAACACTTGACTAGATCTAAGATAAATCCAGGAAGACATTTGACTGTTTCTTTTCAGACCCTGTGATCTTGAGTCTTCTTGATCCCTGAGATGAACACTTAATAGACACATCAGACCTTCCGTACCTAGCACATTTCGATATGCAGGTAAGGATGCTCGTGTTTCGTGTTTTGAGATGAATCGCTTGTACATGTTGTAGACGACGTGGCAGGCCATGTTGGAGCATACATAAGATCCACTGATCCAGGAAGAGAAACCAAACCGCTTGCCCATAAAGCCGCCAGTACTCAAATCATGGTGGTGTTGGCATTGCCGTTGGCGTACTGTAGCACAGGGAGCTATGAAGTGGTACTGCAGGCAGACTGGATTCTGGAGCACGGGCTGACATCCCGACATTTACCAAGGTTGGAAAGAGTCGTTATTTCCACAGCCCCTAAGTGGAGGAAAGCATGTATTAACCGAACTTGATTCAGCGCTTGGATGATACTGTCAGGATGAGCGAGTCGCCAACTGACGACCTTTGGGGCTTGCAGGTGGATAGATGACTGGTTACCGCACTTGCCATTAATAACTTCAAACAGGGAGGGGAGAGTTCAAGCGTCCTCTGCCTACGGTAGGTAATATTCAGGCGGAGCAGGACGGCTTGCGCTTTCAGTCTAGCCTAGGGTGAAAGAAAACAAGAGACTAGGGCTGGTGGTAGATCGATGGCTTTTGGTGTAAGCCAGTCTCGTGTATTTTTACCGCCAAAGGGACCTCCACATAGGTATGTGACTGGGCATTCGACCGTGCCATGCCAGGTAATGGGTACCTAGGATGGATTGGAGGTCAGCGCTCAGGCCGTCGGGCGTTGCTGGAGCGTGCCTACCCTAGCTGCCTTACCTGAGATACCGATCCGAGTATCCAAGTGGAGGTAGGTAATTACCTCAAGTGCTGGGTGGTACATACCTGGAGAGTCAGGCGGTCCTGCACCGCCATTCGTCCAAGCTTTGAGTCAATGCCTCATTGATCTGGCTGCCCGGCGCTCCCTCTTCCTCAATACCTCTCTATAATGACCTGGAATGATATTTCTGTAGCACCTTACTCTTTGTCTGAGGTCTCGCTCCATGTACGGAGTAGGCCAGACTGTATTGCTCCTCTCTGCCCGTGCCTGGTCTTACGGAGCAAATTTACAAGACGGTAACTGTCCGCGTCCACTGAGGTATTCTTGCCACCAAGGATTCCCGCCAACGGCAACAGTACATAGGCACATCGCCCACCATATGTAATATGGATGTCTAGCTTCCTCATCTAGACTATCACACGCCCAGAAAAGAACTCACAGTGGTGCCCAGTAGAGACTTACCTGGCTCTCCTGCACAGTCGGAGTACCATGTGCATAATGCAACGCCGGTCCCCGACCACAGGTTTTCCAGGAGAAGCACCATTCTGACTCTTAGGGTACTAGAGTACGGATGTGGTCCCACATCTTAATATTTGAAATGGTGCGTTTGAATTTCTCATCGACATTGGAGCTATTTTACACCGAGACAGCCTAGACAGCGCAACACCAACCACCTACGAATGCTGCGCCATTAAGCCCTTGCCAATACATCGTCTTGTGGATTAAACTTTCATGGTGATAGCCATCCCAGGCCTCAGGGCAAGTACTCGGTGCCAGTCCATCACGCTATCCACCCATTTATCGAAGTCTGGCTCAGAGCATTTATCAATTGCCAGCACATTATATCGTCCATCTTCAGAAAACCACCAATGATGCTTTTCCTCACCAGACGAGCGTTCAATAGTCCCAAGAATAAACGGACCATGATACGCAAGAGCATGTATAAAGAAGCGGGTACAACAAACCGTTATTACCGGCGTCCTCCCTCGGCGGTGACGATAGGCGGATCTCAAACCCATTGCAAAACATCATCAAGCACCCGTCGATCAGATATGATTGTTTCTCCTAGGAAAACGCCCTTCTCGCATCCCACCCTCTTTGCGAGTTGCAACAACTCAGCGTAGAGCCGAGAAATGGGAATTACAGGTGCTACAGCAGGGGTGTCTGCAGTGCCCTGAGCGAAGCATGCCAAACCACGAAAGCAGTGATGAGCATCCCGCTTGGATGAGGTTTCAAGACCCTTCCGGAGTGGCACTTTCACCCAGTAGGGAAATGTTCCACCCTTTGGCCTGGGCGCGACGCTTCCTACAGTAGTGGTCCCCCGACCCATCTAAGGCCCCAAAAATGCATGCATTGTGGCGCCGGCTAGTGCAGCGCTTGGTGCACCCCTTCAGCCATATCCTAACCCCTACTTCTTGGTGAGTCTCAGGCGGATGCTGCAGCCAGACTGGCTGACAACCCTTGCTCCTTGTGTTTTATTACGACTCCAGCCCGTGGGCCAACTTCTTCTCCATCCCTTCTTTCCCCACTACTCCATGTGAGCTGCATCCCTAGCGGCAGGGGTGACTTGCCTAGCTTGCCTTGAGTCCAGACGACCCGAGGAGGTCCACTTCTTCTAGAGACGCCGCTCTCGTGGGTCTGCAACGCAATCATAGCGACGGGAGGCCCCATCACTACCTGTTTCCTCCTTGTTCGCCCTGTCGGTACGACTGTACCACGCCAAACTTACCTCTAGCGTACCTATGCCTACCAACTCGGCGTGAACCGCACTGATCCTACTCTGTGCCAGTCGACACGCCCCTCACACAAGAAAACCCTTGACTCCATGCCGCAGACGTCGTCTCAATCCCCAGACCAGCAGCCTGATTCTCGCTCCGGCACTACTTCCCGCCTGCCTTTCTCACTGCTTGCTGGCTCCGCCCGTTGACACACCCCCTGCCGGCCCGTATGACGCAGCCCACCACCCCAGCTGCCATGCTAGAAATTGGAGATCCCAGCACAGGAACGTGAAGTGAGGGTCAAATGTGATGAGGAACCTGGCCAAGTACCCCATGGGCCAGGTTCTGATTTGACGGCTGTTCTAAATTCTACGGTTTACAGCCGTCATGTCGCTAATAAATCGCCCATGCTTCTTTATTGCTTGGTCCCTCCTGTTCCACACCATAGATCCCTAGAGAGTTAGTCGATCTTGTTCAAAGTTGCTAGGCTCGATTTATCTGTCAAGCCATCGATTGCCCCATGTTTCGTTAACCCCCTCGAACCCCTTCGGAGCCGGTACCACCATTTCACGATACATATTCAAGCTGAGCCCTTCTCAGTTCTCTTGGGATCTACCATCATTACTTTCACCTCAATAATTGATTTGTATTGAGCACGTTAACTCCTTTAATACTAGCTGTCGTTTTGGCAACTTGTCTCGATATATCTCAACTTTCCACATCATATTACTTACTCGATACACTTCAAGATGATGCACCCACTCTTCGGTGTGCAGCCAGCTGGCTCCTTGCCCATCGCATATCCTTACGACACAATGCTGGACGACCACACACAACAAATGGCATGTTCGCAAGCTTCGAGAAGGTTCTCACGAGGGTCCAGTGGACAACGATCTGGAGGTGCCATGAGAGTGACCAAGCCTTCAAGCGCCAACAACAGCCCTCGCTCGTCTGGTTTCACGGCTCGCCGCAAGACTCTCATGAATGACGGCAACTCGCAACGTCGACAACAGCAGATCATGGAACAGCTATCAACATTTTGTGACGTCGAGTCCCAGCGACCCGCTCCACGATCCTCGCGTCCCGTGAGTTGGCATCCGGGCTCATATGGCCAACAACCCTATGTTCAGGCTCAACAGCCCGCTTATGCCTTGACCACAAGCCACTTGCCTCCCGACCACCAAGACTTGCACGGCAACTATGCTCATTATTCCCCAATGATGGATTCAACTTCATGCGGTACATCCCCGCTGGCATTCTCCCATCTACCTCTCCCATATCAATCTACCGACAACATGACCTACAATCCCTACCACGGAACGAACATGTCGCATCACTCCCCCGCTGCTTCTATGGTCTTGCCGGGTCGTCAACTGCCTGTCATTGCTGCGCCCGCCGAGACTACTGATAGCAATGGATGGGACTGGAATACCTTTATCATGCACGGCATTGGCTCCACAACACCCCCCACCCCTGAGACCCTCCCACAAACCCAACTGTCTCAACCTGCAGTATCAGAGGATCCTCACTATCAGGCCCTCGAAGATGCCGCGGAAGAAGACGGCGAGATCCTGGTTGGAATGGGGCTTTACGACACTCCGGAGAAGTACAACGAGGATCCTCAGCTCAACAACTATCGATCTACTGTGTCATCTTTACTTGGGTCATCATTCAGGACCCATGAGCCTCAAGGCAAGGGCCTGAAGCTTGAAGAGACATGGGAACCTCCCAAATCTGACGAAGAGGATGAAGATGAAGACGAGCAGGAGGAGGAGAATGATGACGAGCAGTGATTCCGCTGCATCTTGAAATTTGTAACGGCATACATGAATAATGACAGGAATTTTTGTATCACTATGGTTTACACTGGTAGGTGGGAAAAGCCGGCTTTTACTTCTTCGGGACATGGAAAAATATTATGTGATAAGGTCGGTACACCTGGATCTCAGGATAAGGAACATGGAAGCAAGCGTTTGAATTTTACTACATATAGAGTCTGGCTGGCTATGGATACCCCGTGCAAAGAGCACAGAACTAGGAGATACAAGTAAGGCTCAGGCAGCCGCCCAATAGTTATCCAACTAAGAAATACACAATCAATATTGAGAGAGAGAAGAAAGGGACTTGGCAATGTGTCACGTATTATTCCTAACGATGATAACTTGGCCATGGCCTATCAAGCGACAGTAAAATCCATAGCTTTGGCAAAAAGATGCGGTATGAGGTGGACCCAAAAAGAGCCGCGTCTTCCCAACGTTGATTAGCTGTGCTAAACCCTGCACAGCATGTGGCATATCGAAGGTCCGTGCTTCCGCACTTGACTCAGCATATTCAATTGGTCCAGTTCCAGATTTGACGCCCCCTCCCCGCTCTGAGCCAGCCCTGCGTGGCATGTGCACGACCCCCTCTTTACGATTTCTTTTTTTGAGGCATTACGTATTTGCTCAGGGACGGTTGTGGCTGAAAAATACATAGTGGCCAGCTCCACCCCGTCCGTGATCAATCGGCCTCAGGCATTAAGTTAGGGTGCCAGAAGAAACTGGTCTAATGCTATACTAAAATTATACTAAACTTACCCAAGTCTTTTCATCACTTTGGAGAAAGGTCTGAAGTTTTCTTTCCTCGAACTCAACCTAGTTCAGCAATGGAAATCTTAACCTTGGTAACGCTTAGCACTCTGTGCGGCTCGGAAGCTCCGTCTAGGAGTCATACGAACTAAACCAGCAGCGGAGAGCAATATGTATGATTGTTCATGCATTCTGGGGAGACATGACTAGCATGCTCTAAATAAGACTCGATCAGTAGCTCTGCTCTACCTCATGGTCTGAAAAATTGCTCAACTTGCCTAAGACGCAGGGAGGAGGTCCCTTTCCGGGTGGATGGTCGTGATAGCCGCTAGATTTGTACCGTGCTGATTGGCAAGGCGCTACCTTATGCTCTCGCCAAACTTCCATTCTCGACCTCAACTATCCGAAATCATAACTGTGGCATATAAGCATTTATAATCTACAGTATTTTGTAGACATCCTTTTCAAGACACCTTCTGTTGAATGCCTACTACAGTGAACGTGTTTTTGAGTTCAGGTACTCTGAGTTTTCTCACTTTACTTACTTAGATGTCTTACCCTGTACCTGCCTCGGACTTTGAGTATTGTGCTTTGTATTTATTGATGTTTATAATTTATCTACAACGCTGTGCGCTCAAATACGTTTGTGTTGAAGGGGGGGGGGGTGTAAAGAAATCAACGGAAAGTCACAATTATAAAATTGAAAGCTCTTGAGATATCATAGGTTGCAGAATAAACTCACAGAGCATTAAAACGTGATACTGACGGCAAGTCCTGTGGAAGGGAAACACGGCCGTCATTCGTTATAGAAAAAAAATATTATCCTGACAAAAATCCTGCAACCAATGCACGCAAACACAAAAAAAAAAAGTAGAGAAAGAAAATATACGCACCACTGTTTTCCCCGAACAAGCGAGTAGATGCCGCTAAGTATCAAATACTTCGGAGAAAATATCTATTATTATAGAGACAGAAAATGGTACAATACGTCTTTACACCATGGCGCGACCGTTACGAACTCTTGCTCGTTCGCGAGCAGATGTACACAGGCATCGACACCAACGCTATAGAGGCAAAGGAGCATTCAAGCCATTCTGAAGGCAGTGCAAACATACAAAACCAACAGATTCTGGACGACCAGGAAACACAAAAGAGGCAGCACAAAGCAGTTGCGCGTGTGTCGATGTGGATGCAGCGAGGAAACTGTCCTCACATGGTCGAGTCAACAGCACTGTTGATGGCGGCGACGTTGAGTGATAAGGAGGCAGCCGCTGGGGAAAATGCAGCCTCATCGGCGTATGCAATCAGAGCAGCATACTCCGCTGCCTTTAGCAGGTAAGTTCTGCCAGTCGAGACCCATTACTGTGCGACAGAGCTGATGAAACACAAGGTTCGTGACTGGTCTTCTTGATGGCCATCAGGACAAACAGCGCAAACAGAGCATGTACTCTATTGCAAAGACCATTGGATTGCCCGCTACATTTGTTGAGCTTCGCCATCAGTCTACGCACGAACAGCTGCCCTCATTGGCAAAGCTGCGCACAGCAGCTAAGAAGGCCTTATTGTGGATTTGGGAGTATTACTGGAAGCAGCTGGGCGAGGACAATAGCGACGCGTGTCGCAAGGCAGTACTACGGTATCTAAGGGAGGGAGATGAATCGAAGCTGGTAGCCCTGTTCCAGGAGTTCGAGCGGTGGCGTCCAGAGCGCGTTCTCAAGACAGTTGAAGAGGTCAAGGGCAGTTTGCCGGGCAATCAAGCATTTTTGAAGTGCGTAGAACTGATGCAGAGGCTACGAGAGTCTGAGGAAGATAAGAAGTCGTCAAAATCCGGTACCGCCGATACGACGATGAAAGATACAGAGCCTTACACTGGAGAAGCTGATGAGGAAGATGACTTTGGATGGGCACAATTCAAAGGCACATGGAAGCCTAAACCCATTGGGATTGTTTAGCACGAGTATCCAATATTTCTACCAGATACCCCTTATTGACTACCTAGACGTATAAATCATTCTGCAGAGGCAAACATGGGTGATGTTGGAATTGGACCTGGACATATCACGTGCAGTCGCCCGCATCGGCAAACGTCATGATAGGTACTGGACTGGAGCCATGATGCCTCGCTTGGATGACAAAGCCTCACATCTTATTCGATCTTGTTCTGTTACAGCGCATCCGTCTCAGCCGGCCTTGACATTTCCACAGACCTACTTATGTATAGACTCGCTACCAATCGGCCATTCCTCAGACAGAAAATTGGATTTCTATCTAGTGCCGTGAGTCAATTGTTCAACTCAAAAAAGTGTGCTTAGCTGAGATGATTGATGTAGCTCGTTGCTACCCGCGCCATGCATATTCAGTCAATTCCCATGTGTATGTCAAGTGTCTGAAGAATTTGAGGACCCTGAAACTGATTTCAACAGGGGAGGGAAGCTCCAACAACTACGCTTACCTGGTAGTTGACGATAAGTCCAAGGATGCCGTCATCGTTGATCCCGCAAACCCTCCCGAGTACATAGTAGCCACCCTGAGAACATTTGAGAAGCTGCTGATGTATATTTCAGAGTTGCGCCTATCCTGAAGGATGCTATTCAGGCGGGGAATATCAACTTGACAGCCATTGTTAACACCCATCAGTGAGTAATTTACCATCAATTTCTTCCGACCTAGACTGATCTCCTTGCTGCCATTGGGATCATGCAGGAGGCAACAAGAAGCTGGTAAGATACCCCGTAATGATGTCCCATGAATGCTTATTGACATCCATAAGCTTGCTGAGCTGGGCAATCCCAAGCTAGACATTATCGGTGGCAAAGACTGCGAGGGTGTTACAAAGACACCTGGTCACGGTGAGACCTTCAAGCTAGGCGACATCACCTTCAAGGGTGTGCATACACCTTGCCACACTCAAGACAGCATCTGCTTCTTTGTGGAAGACGGAAAGGACAAAGCTGTTTTCACGGGTGATACCCTTTTCATTGGCGGTAAGTTTGAGCAAACCTCGAATAGTACAAGGATGTTTTGGGCCTGTGCTGATAATGAACAGGATGTGGAAGATTCTTCGAGGGCAATGCGGAGGAGATGCACGAGGCTCTGAACAAGCGGCTCGCGGCGTTGCCTGATGACACCGTAGTTTATGTAAGTTCCGAGCCAACACAAAAGTCCATCGATGCTCATGCTGTGACAGCCGGGACATGAGTATACCAAGGCCAATGTCAAGTTTGCCGCATCTGTTTCTCAGCGTGATGCTGTACAGAAGCTGCATTCCTTCGCCGAGAACAACAAGGTCACCACCGGCAAGTTTACCATCGGAGACGAAAAGGTAGCTCGATATCATGAGTTGTCTCGATACGAAACGGCTGACTTTGCATAGGAACACAACGTCTTTATGAGGGTTGAGGTTTGTCAAAGTTCTTGAACATGTTAGGTTACCAAGCTAACAATCATAGGATCCCGAGATTCAGAAGCAGACAGGTGAGACTGAGCCTGTGGCAGTCATGGCCAAGTTACGCGAAATGAAGAACAACTTCAAGTGAGTAAGTAGTGACACTTCCTCGCTATCCTTTACTCTCCCACGGCTAACCATTCTGAAGAGAGCCAAAGTCCAAGATATAGATGGCAGGTAACAGATTGACAAGGGCCCAGTAGGAACCAGATGCATGGGGCGAGCGAGTATTCTGAGTGAATAATTGACTGCGTTGAAAATTGAAGTACTACAAATGTATGTCTCCATGGATCGCTAGGTGCCTGTCTTCAAAGACATGGCATCGCTTGCTACCCGCTGGAACCACGCCGGTTTGAAGTTGTCCGACGAGGCTTGTTTTAATTTTGCTTCACTGTCCACACTTGCTCGCTGTAGTGATTTCAAAGCGGCAAGCTCTAGCATTTTTAGAAGCGAATATTGAGGGAACGTCACGGTATCGAGAAGAGCTGTCGGTGTCGAAATCCGAGTATATGGTAGCGGCGTAGCAGGCACAAGTAAACAAACCGTAGAGTACTTCGCGGTGATTATTCTTCAAAAGAGCGCGAGTGCATTGTGAAACCAGTCCATAGAGACTATGGAAATTTTGAGATAGGTTGTTAAAGGGAGATGGTTTGGTCCCTAAAGAAAAATTTATTAAAACTCATTTGAGAGAAGGGCCCGTACAGTCTGAATAGAATCCAAAGACGGTGCTGGTACACTGTCCTCCACGGGCGCCGAATCCACTATCGTCACCACAAGCATTCATTGTGACATCAATCATCGCGACTGCGTATAAGTGCTTTCTGTCCCTTCTTCGCAAGCGCAAATGGTAATGCACGCTCTGAAATTACATCAGTAAAAACATGGTCTAATAGAATTCCTTAGCCTCCGAAGCGCAAGGCTCCCGCGACCAGCGCAACCGCCGCTCCCAAGACGCGACAATCCAAACTCGCCAAGGAGCACAATGTGACTGCGCAAGAAGAGGGCGAGATCCGCGAGGCGTTCAGTCTCTTTGCGGAGCCAATGGATGGCGAGAAGCATGGAGTCTTGCCTATTGACGACGTCAAGTCGGCGCTCATGTAAGTATCTATGTGAGGACGCTTTTGAGCCCTTGGCTGACATATGCTTGCTTAATTAGAGCCCTCGGTGTTCCGCCCTCTTCTCACTCAGAGCTCAAAGAATTCGTATCAATCCTGGACCCAGAAAACGACGGTTACGCGACATTTGAACCTTTCTTCGCAATCTGTGCCCTCAAATTCCATACAAGGGAGCACGACTCGGACGCCCATCGTGCAGAAGTCGAGGAAGCTTTTCGACTATTCACAAACGGTCAGGATGGACCCATTACTCTTGCACACCTCCGACGTGTTGCTGCTGTGCTCAAAGAGGATGTCGATGAGGAACTACTCAAGGATATGATTCTCGAGGCGAACGGCGGCGTAGGTGTTGCTAGGGGAGTGGGCGTTGAGGAGTTTGATGGAGTAATGAAGAGCGCTGGTGTCTGGAGGTGATTCTCCAGCTTTCAGGAGGAGCCATCGTGTTACGACTTACGAACAAACGAAACTTGCCTTGTACGACTTGGGGGAGTTAATACTATAAAATGAAGCGGAATCGATCCAAGAGTTACAATGTGGCACCGAGAGAGAGGTAAGAAACCCAAGATGAGGGACCAGACGCTGACTGCTAATCATGCATTGCCTGTTGCAGACCAACGTACATGATAATTATTATAGTACAGCGCACATTACTGAGTCGAGACTTGTTTGGAGGGACCTAGATGAGTTCATCAATGGAGGCATCAGTTATTCAGTGTCTATCTATATCAGGAGTCGAGGAGCAGTTCTACGCATTCACTGTTTCCAAATCTAATTACACAATCTCAAAAGCGCTAGGTTCTTCAGGATTAAGGGTCCTGGCCAATATATATGTATAATCACACCTAATTCTGAAACGCCTTATCAGATGCATGCATGCCTCATAGGACAGCGACGGGACGGGATACGTGAGCTAACAAGCACACACTATGTCAACCCAACTATCTGAAATGAACCTGAACTATATAGCAGCGCAAAACCAAACGTCGTAACTTTCGTGAAAATCATTGCGGAGACTCGACCGTCACCGCTGGCTTAGCGTCACCACCCTTGGCGGCAGCGGCGGCGAGCTTCTCCTCTTCCTGTCGGCGGGAATCGAGCACGACCTTGAGCTCCGGGGGAGGGTTGAAGCCAGCGTGGTCTGAGTGGCGTTTGTAGTAGTATGCGTCAGGCTTGGGGTGCATCTCGGGAGGGAGCTCTTCCATGATGCACTTGACGATGTTGTCGATCGAGTTCTTCTTGGAGGCGTCGCGGTGCCATACGGTGATGAGGTGGGAGTTGAAGCGGACGGAGAGGCCAACACCGCAAAGCTGGTCGTCTACAGCAGAAGTTAGCACAGGCATGTCCATTGTGGTCAGAGTTCGTACCGTCGTCGAGAACACTTTGGAGTTTCTCGCCAATGGCAAGGAGCTGAACACGAGTCCACACATCAGGACCTATGCTCTTAGGGAAGCGGAATGTCCAACTTCCACCCAGAATATTGCGTCGATCCTCCCAGACAGGGCGGAAACCTGACTTGAAGAGGTACAAAGACTCTCGAACACCAATATTTCCGACAGGAGTATTGTTGGCATATCGCCAAAAGTCCTGCACCGACTCGATCTGGGTACCCAGCTGCTCCAGCCCAGAGTGATACTGATCACCGCTTTCCCCTTCCTTGGCCTGTCGGTCGAAGTAGACGTTCCAATAATGCTGAGTGGGCAGTGCTCGCATCGTCTTTAGGAAGTTTCGCTTGGCATCGTCGCGCTGTTCGGCTGGAGAGCTGGGATCGTTCTCCTGAGATTGCGAGTCTGCGATGCCGCGCGTGAAGAGAGGGAGACGGGAAGACATATTGGTGAGATGCGGGATGAAGAAGGAGTGAAAACGAATGTAAGAATGGTGAGTACCTATGGAGGTGAGGAAGGCCAAAGGTCGGAGATGAGCACGGAGACTGGAGTTGAAACTACTGTACAGAGGCAACCCTGTCACGTAGGTAGCTTAGCTGGTGAGGGGCACACGTCGGACAGAAAGAGGAATAGACAGCTTAGTACAGGTAAAACTATTAACAGCCCCTATTCCGTTGTTTAGTCCTTAATGACAAGCGAATAATGGCAGGCATATGAGGAGAAGGCCAGCATGTAGTACCTAGGTAGGCAAAATAAGGAGACGTGGATACGTACTGTCTAACGTTCAGGTCAAGTATTTTGTTGCGACTGTAGATGCCCAAATGCCGAGCTATGGTGGGGATATACCTATGCCTAGATACGGATACCTTGTATGGAGTTTCAGAAGCTACAGTACCTAAACTACACCTCTGGTAGGTACTAAGGTAGTATAGTAGGTCTAGTAGGTTGATGTGCCTCAAGATGTCCCGAGACTTCTATAAGACTCTAAATGTGGTAAAGACAAATAACGGAGAAAGTATACTAGCGACCCTTAAATATACCAAGCATGCACATTTGCATTCTTATTATTCAAGACAATTGTCGAGTCTTTTGCCATAAGAGCATAGCCGAGATACTTGACATGGCATGATACGACATGACTGCGGGGTCCTTGAGGCGGCGAATGAGCTTCTACAGGCTTTGCAATCCCCATTGATTGGTGACGAAACATCGTCAGTTGCTCATTTATTGACCTCTGTTACTGCGTCCAAGGCATGTCCTATTTTCTCAGCTGACATTTTGACGAATCATGGTGACGGTTTCAGATATCCCTGATCGGACTGAAACTGAAGTTTACGAACCGACTCAGCCAATCAGGTCAAACACATTGCTTAGTGAAACTACTAGTTTGACAACGATCACATCGACAACGTTAACCGGCGGATCGGAAGAGTGCTCTTTAAAACTCCCAATTCGGAAGACTCGTAGGAGATAGAATTACTTATATGTGTATTAACTAGGTAGTAAACAAGAAACCCTCTGCTAGGTAATCAGCGTACTTATGTAGTTGCCCAACGTTGATGCCTTTATCATTTCTCAATGCATACACGCATATGTAGCTTCACGGTCCAGTTGATCCTGCCATTGACCCTGATGGCCTCGTGTGTGATAGAATTCTTCATATTTAAATCATTTGTAATGTAACGTAAAGTAACGTAGCCTATTGTCCAGCAAACTCAAAGAGACATCCAGTGAATCTAATCCGACCCGGTCATTCAAACAACGCTTCCAAAACACCATGCTCCATTCATGCTAGCAAATCTTCCTTCAATGACTTCTGCGTTGTTGGTCATCCGTTTCAGAGGTTTTCCTTTGCGCCCAGTGGCATTCTCGCGCTGTTCTCATTCTTAAACCTCGTCAAGTCCCCTTGCATCAACTTCCTCAAGTTACCCATATCCTGGAGGTATTGCTGCATTTCTTCTTGCAGCTCATCCTCGCCGTACGCTGTGCTCTCCGAATCGTACTGATCGTCATCGTACTCACTATATTCGGAGGCATTCTCTTTGTCCTGCTCGTCGACTTCTCGTTCTGGCTTTACGACAACAGGAGGAATAGGGTTCTTGAGGCTTTCGATAGCGAGCTTCAGGTGCAGTTTCAAGGCCTCATTCTCCGTCTGAAGCTTCTTGATCTTGCTCTCAGCTACCATGCTGCGCTCCTCCATCATGCGCTGCATAGAGTTGACATGGGTCTGGTACTCCTCCAGTTTGTCCTCAGCTTCCTTGGCGTTCTTCTCACGCTGTCTCGAGTCTGATACGGAAAGCTGCAGAATACGAATTTCCTCCGCCATAGCAGCAATCTGTGCGTCTCGCTCGGCTGTTGATATGTGGTCCTGGTTGACAACAGCTCTAGTCCGGATCCGTTTGGCTTGGTCGGCATATCGCAGCGTGGAAAGGGTTTCATCGTAGTCTGAGGGTGCGATGCAGGCAATCATGGCCGTCTTGCTGTTTCCGCCTAGTGAGTCTTTGAGAAGCCAGGTGAGGATCGAGTCTCGATATGGGACAACCTCTTTTCGCTTCCCACCCCTTCCGGCCTTGGGGTCCGCTAGAGCAGCAATGACACGTCCCAGCGTGGTCAGTGATTTGTTGATGTTGCTACCTTCACGTAATCGCGCACCGGTAGCCTCGGTGGCCTTGGCCCTCTCGCTACCAGCCAGATCCACCAGTCGAATGCGAGAGCTTCGCTCTGTCGTCTCGTCGGTTTCCATATCGTGGTGGATTTGTTTTAGCATGATTGTGAAAACAGCGTGACTTCGACTACTTGTATCGTTCATCTTTGTGCTCGCTACTGTACGAGATGTATCGCCCAATTTCATGTAGCGCAGAATCTCATTGATGTTTCGCACGGGCACCTCGGTAAGATCCTTGACGTATGGACCTTCGGTGGGAGATTCGCGAATCTTGAGATAATTGGGCGCCTTGTGCGTTTGAGGAGGAACGAGGAGGTCACGGACGTGCTCATTGTAGACTTCAAAGTACGAGACGCGAACATTATAGGCGACGTTTGAGTTCTCGCAGTGAGCGGCGTCGATACGCTCAAAGAGATCCTCGCAAGTCCGAGGAATCAGGCCAGGCTGGTCTGGAGTGCCCATCATGGTGTAACTCTTTCCAGATCCAGTCTGTCCGTAGGCAAAGATACACGTGTGGTAGCCTTCGAAGTTGTGATCGAGGAAGTCCTCGCCAAGGCTGTTGTAAACGTCTTCCTGAGTGGCATAGTGCTTGTCGTCAGTGTCATGACTCCAGAAGGAGTTATCGAAAGTAAATTTCTTCTCCTCGATGACCTTCTTGGCCTTAAGCTTTGCAGCCTCTGGGTCAGGATCATCGGGTGCGGATAGTGTTGTGAGTTGAGTGATGGGGTCCATTTGGATCAGACATTTTGCCTGGCGTTCAAGTTCTGTAGACTAGTCAGATACATAGGCTCTATAGAAAGAAGACAAAAAGAAGACACGGGTGCTTATGTGTATTCACCTCTCTTGAGAAATGCTCTCACTCGGACTACGACCTTGACATTTCCTCCCCCTTCCATTCTGGCGGGCATGGATAAAGCCACATCTCGAGATCTCAGCGATGGCGTTGAAGCCGAAGAGTGAACCCTGCCCTCATAAAAAGACGCCGAGGGCGACGAGGGAGAAGGCATCAATCTCGAGTCCAGAGCCATCGTCATAAGAATGCTGTTGGCGTTGTCGATGCTGTCGTGAAGTCGATGTCGAAGGATAACCCACATCTCACCGTCTTCCCTTGTAGGTATTTTTTGTTTACCAGCGTCATTCACGTTGCTAGGGGCAGTTGCAGGGGGCCCTTGTCTGCGTAGTACAGGTTTTGACTGGTTTAACAGAAGGGAGCTTGGGCCAAGCGGCCCCTCAAGACTCGGCAGCTCTAGTCTGAATCAAGTTTAGATTCTCGTCAATCTCTGAGAGAAATACCACCTCTTTGTATCTGCTGTTCTCTACTCGAGTTATTCTGTCGTGCCCGATAGCCCAATTCTTTGTCGCGGGGA